GGGAAGACATCATCCTACCATGACTTTTGACAACAGAATAGTGTCCAGGGCCACTTTCATCCCTAAAATGTCTTCTCCAAAAGGCAGATGTCACTGTCTCCCCACCAGCTGGGGTTATCTGGAATTTCACTATTGAATATTAGTTAATATGCAGGAGGCTCCTGCAATTTTAAATGATGCTCTTGCATAAGTTCTGTTTGCCATAAAATTCAGCAAACAATCGTGAAGGGGCTGAACATTGTTTCATTTTAAATTTTCTGCTTAATTTATCTGTATAAACTTGGGAAGCACCTCAAACTTAGAATAATTCTAAATAAAATTATTTACCTTAATTATCTGATTCAGTTTGACCTTCAGAGCTATCCAGAGCTTTGTCCCCCTGAACAAGTCTTTAGCATGTCTGTGCCTTTCTGCTAAATTAGAAAACGTAGCGTTCTCTGCTTCCGTTTTTCACTTTGACCAACTACTTATTAGCTACAAAATGCCACAGTACTCTTTACAGAGTTTTGGTTTCCGGTCATGAAAAGAAGAGTAAAAAATCAAAGTTTGCTGATATTCTAAATAGTCCATCTCCAAAAGATGAGTAACCCAGCAGCATTATTCCTATAATCTGCAGTCAGCCACTTTAGAAATCTATGGTACGATTTAGAAATGTAGCAAGAGCAACTCTGCCAGTATTCTACAGTAAGCGAGCAATTCATGTTTTCTTTCTCTCAAAGCCTCTTCTGCCAATCATTTCCCTTGAATCACTGCCTTCCCACTCTCACTTTGGGTACCAGGCCATTTGTTTTTCTTTTTTGTTGTCCTACAATCTGGTCCTAGTCACTTTCTTCCTACAGAGCTTATCCTGCCTTATCTATATTTTTCATTTTAATTGGCATTACTTTCCCTTCTCAAGTGATCCTCAACCAACTAGGAATAAACATCACTTGTTAAAGGTATGACAGTCTCTGTCCTGGAGTCATCACTAGATGAGGAATTTCTATCCAAAACCCTACTTCCTATAATTCAATCATATAAGAGTGTGTGTAATTTTAT